TGTATACAAAATTAAATATGTACAGCATTTGTGGTGTTTATGATATTAAAAGCACATTAGATATTCTCTTAATGTAGCAACCAGTAAATAATACAGTTTTAGATCGAACATTTGGTCTCACAATAGAAAGTTACATAAATATACCAAAATACTTTATTTTGTGTACGACAAATTGAGTATTCTTGCTGTATATTCAAGACACACTTAAATAAAGCTCATTAGCATTTATTATATTGTTAAGGGTGTTAAAGAAAACCTAACAGTGCGTGTTCTATTTTAAGAATTTCCAGTTACTGCGGAACATTGAAGAGTGTAAAACCTATTCCATTTTTTTCTGTCTTCACAAGCAGTTAAGTTTCTATGGCCACAGCAATAAAGGGACCAAAACTAATGTTTCAAGCCCAGTTAAGATTTTAGTGCCTTTCCTGCTTTACGAGGCGGTTAAAATTACGGGTCTGGAATAGTATCCACTTGTGCACTTAGGTCAAATTACTTCAACACGGTAATAGAGAACATATTAACATTTTAGAAGTATACTATATCCATGGAATGGTATCGCTCATTGAAACATAAGTTTCTAAATTGACTGTCATACATGATATTCATTTTTATTGTTAAATTATTCGGTGATGGATTTATGGATTTGGATCCTATATCATATATACTTACGTGGATAGAATTTAGAATTTAGAATTAGTGGGAGGGGGGTTAATCACTTCGACCTTACAGATCCATTGTGTCCCCCTTTCTTGAATCATAACTCATCATACAGTCCCAGGGCTTTGACAAAAGCCAGTATCTGGGACGGTTTTATAGAGGGTAGTTCTCCATCTCCAATATCAGTCGTACCAAAATTCATGGCACGAATGGTTGTCGTCTCGGCGCACTCAGTGATGAGGTGTACTGGTGTTTCACCATCTTCCCACAGAATCTGCATTCGCCGTTTCTTCTTAGTTTCAATCTACTGAGGTGTTCATTGAGGAGACAGTGTCCTGTTAAAAACCCCGTGACAATCCGAAGATTGTTCTTACTCAGACCCAGGAAGATCTGTGATTTTTCTTGATCATAAGCCCTCAGAAACTTCTTCGAGTCTCCTAGACCATTGCAAGATTTCCATTCCAGGTTGCGGATGGAATCTTCCAAGTTCTTGAGTTCCGCCTTGAGTTGGTTACCACTTGGAAAGCAGAACGGTTCTGGTCCAGTTAGTGGAGTGTTCGCTCCTTTTCTAGCTAGATTATTTGCTTTTTCATTGCCTTCTATCCCTTGGTGAGCAGGCACCCAGTGTAGGAGGACTTTGTTTTCTTTGCCTAATTTATTCAGCTTCTCTAGCATTGCATGCATTCTTTGACCAATTTCGAATTGATTGATACTGAGTTGATCGCCTTTAACGCTGCTTGACTATTAGATAAGATGGCTATTTCTTGTTTCCGATAGTTCCTATCTAAGATAAGTTGTACGCATCTCTCGATAGCGTAGATTTCTGCCTGTAGGATACTAGGGTAAGTGCCCATTGGTTCCGGAGTAATTAGCTCTCGGCCCAAACACTCCGATCCCTGTTCCCGTATTGGTTTTGGAAGCATCAGTATACCAAGTTATTGTATGGTCTTTTAACTGCTGGGCAAGCGTTTCGCTCTTCCAATCCTTCTTATTGCTCAATACTACATTGACATGTTTGTCAAAGTTGTACGTTCTTGGCATATCGTCCACTGGGAGTTGCAGAAGTGGTATTTCCTTTTTGAGGGTGTTCCAAACCCCTGATCTGACAATTCTCCCAGTACTAATTCCGTTAGTGACCATTCTAATCATTGTCGCATTGGCAATCTACCAATGACAATGTGCAGTGGTGTTAGATCTAGAATAACCTCCATTGCTGCTGTTGGACAGGTTCTCATGGCTCCTGTGATGCAAACACAGAGTCTCTGGAGTCTGAGTCTCTGGACTTTGCATAGGTTTAGCCTTGCCGTCCGTTGCTCTAGTTTTGTGTACCAGGCAACTGCTCCATAAGTAATCATGGGTCTTACTATCATGGTATACATCCAGCGCAAAATGTTAGGGGAGCAGCCCCATCTATTTCCCGCCAGTCTTCTGCATATCATGAGAGCCTTTATGGCTTTGCTGGTAGTGTTCTTAATATGCCTGTTCCACAGGAGTTTACTGTCCAGGGTTATTCCCAGGTATTTAACTTCCTGTGTTGGCAGTATTTCCTTTCCATCTAGTTGGATTCTTTTCAAGTTTTTCAGACTTCGCCTTCTGGTGAATGGCACTATCGCGGTTTTGTCTGAGTTGATACTCAGCCCGACAGTCCTACACCATCTCTCAGTGATACGGAGTCCTCTTTGGATAATATCACACAAGTGGATAAGTAAATCAATTTGTTGCAAACAACAATTTTTGTTGCAAACGCGGTGCTTTTACTCTATATATCCTTGTTGAAGACCTATCGCCCACGCGCCAAATTTGAACATTAATTTTAAAAATTCAATTTGTAAAATACATATATTTGAACAATAAATTGAATAATTGAATAAGAAATTTCTAAAATGTTTATCTTAATTTAGAATTCAATACATCGAAAACAGCCCGACGAATAATCAATTCATTTTTGTTTTGTTTATTTCCTTTCATGTTTCTCTGTTTTATTTTTAAAATTTAATACGAATTTGATTGCTTCGAATGTCTTGAATTTGAAATTGTTGTAACTACGGCAACGTTGCTTAACATCGTCGTCTGACGCAAGCCCATTCCTTCCATCTTTTACCTCTGCTAACAATCGTATTCGTTAAAAAAGTCAAACAAAGGACTTATCAAAACGGGCACTATTTAAAAAATTAAAAAAAAACGAAATGACTAAATTCACCGCAGCCATAAGGCACACCCTCCATAAATGGAATGCAAAGGGGTGCAGGGTAGAGGGCGGGGGTCAAATGACGTAGCTTTGGGCTCATTAAAACTGAAAAGGTTTGCAATTTGTCGAGGGTCCCATTTGGCTTAACGCTCGCCAGGGTCATTAGCGAATATTCAGATGGAGAATTTGGGGGGGTTTGGGATGTAAAGATGGAAATAGTGGGTTTTAAGGAAGAATAGGTTTTGCGATTGCTGTATATTTTGAAAACGTTTTGATTAAAATTGTGAAGATATTATATGGATTGATTGTATGGGAGGGAAGAATTTATACAAGGTGAAATACATACAACTATGAAATTATGAACCCTTCCTGGACACAAACGGTACATTGTGAGATAGGAAATTGTAGAGAGAAACAAGCCCTATTACATAGGATACAATATTTTAATGAACAGTGCTTTCCATAAAATCAATAAAATAAAAAATATACGAAATAATATACATGTACTGATTTCTTTCCAAAATCGACAACTATGAAACTATGAACCCTTCCCCGACACAAACGGTACATTGTGAGACAGGAAATTGTAGAGAAAAACAAGCCCTATAACATAGGATACAACATTTTAATGAACAGTGCTTTCCATAAAATCAATAAAATGAAAAATATACGAATTAACATGTACTGCTTTCTTTCGAAAATCGACAACTATGAATCTATGAACCCTTCCCGGACACAAACGGTACATTGTGAAACAGGAAATTATAGAGAGAAACAAGCCCTATAACATAGGATACAACATTTTAATGAACAGTGCTTTTCATAAAATCAATAAAATGAAAAATATAGGTACGAAATAATATACATGTACTGATTTCTTTCGAAAATCGACAACTATGAAACTATGATCCCTTCCCCGACACAAACGGTACATTGTGAAACAGGAAATTGTAGAGAGAAACGAGCCCTATAACATAGGATACAACATTTTAATGAACAGTACTTTCCATAAAATCAACAAAAAAACGTATTTCTGTGGTTGAAATATACTACCCCTAAAATATTTAGTTATTTAAGACTCCTATCTTGTATAACTGCCTCTTGTCAAAAATAGAGTAGGTAGTTGGGAAAGGTTAAATATTTTTCTCGTTCAAATGTTGATATGTCTCTGTTTTGGACGAACTTTAGTGCACACACTTATGAAACTCACCGTTTGTAATTTATTACGTATATCCATCAAACCAACCTAAAAACTCCGGCTACAATATCTCGTAATTATCTATACATCGACCTAACTGACCCCCTTATTCAGTTACCCTTGAACTTGTTGACTCACGCACGCTTTATTTTTTGCTGCCACCGTCTTACCCTCTAGATTTTACCCTCTGTCCAAATAGAGCACTGAGTCAACAGAGCTTGGGTCGTCGTTGATACGTCACGTTCTGTTGGCGAAATAGACGGCTCTTTTGAATAAAATTATTATTTCTATACGTTTTTGTTTGCTTGGACGTGATTTATCTTTATCGGGGAAAAGTCTTAAATAAATTATAATAAAATAGATAGTTTTGTTTAAATATTATCAACGAAAATCTCTGTTGAGCCAACCCTTTTTATGTCATTTATTCGAAAGGGATTGTCGTGTCAAAAATTGATATTTAATTTCCGGGAACACTGCGACCTCTAAGTCCTATTGCGTTTGTCTCGTTTCTATGTCTGCAGCCAGTATCTGTATCCTGTGCAGATCCTTGATAGGATGGGAGCATAGTTCCTCAGATTCCAGCATTAATTTCCCAAATAGAAAATGTCGCTGCGATCCAGAGCCTCGTATTGACATATTATGTGCTCCGCGGTTTCAGGATCTTATCGCGAGTCTGCAAAAACGACTTCCTTGTTACAAGTAGCACTTGACAGCCATATGTCCTGTCAAAAGGCCTGTTATAATCCGCACTTTATTCCTACTAAGCACTAACAGTTCATTTGCGGTTTTAGAGAATCCAGGTCCTTGGATAAAGGCCTTGTCTGTTTCTCCAGTGGACATTCTGTTTTTTCCTGATAGAAGGAAGGATTCTGATGATCCTTAGTATTTATGAGTTATTTCAATAATCGACAATTTTTATTAGAATATTTTAATTATAGTTTTATTTGTTTGTTACAGGCCCGGCCTCACCGTGTTGACAGAACAATCGACTCGAAGGGGTGGGTCATCACGTGACTCGCCCCCTCCCCCTCCAGCACCCCGGGGATCGAGTAAATCGCAGAGGAATGGAGGCATTCCTCAAGGTATTTAACTACATTTCATACTAATAAATATTGTTTTTTGTCTATAAATTATATAGGGTGTTCTTTAATGGCCTGCTATTATTTAAGGGGGTGATTATTGGGCCTACTTTAAGAAAAAAAACTTCTTTTGAATATAATATGTCCTAAACATCTTAACTTTTTAGATATAGAGTAGAAAATTTTCTAAAAACATTCTTTCATTCTAACTCTGTAATTATCTTATGTTATTAGTTGTTAGTCTTGGTCTTAGTTTTGCATTTTTTAATAGATTTTTACTAAGTGCGTTTCTACATAGAAAATCTTTAAATTAATAGTATTTTTAGTAATTTAATACAAACAATTTTTTAGGTAATTTACAAACAAGAAGTAACAATTTTATCCAGGGATTTCTCAGAGTAACCATTCTGAAACAAATTCGTTTTTATACAGGGTGTCCCAGAAATGAGTGCAGATATTTTAAAGGGTGGTAGATCTGGTCAAAATAAACATATTTTCTCTTTACCATTTTTAAAATAAATTGAAAATAACCGAGTTATTTAACTTTGAAAATTTAAAAAAATAATCGCAACATTTTGAGAACCGCCGGCAGATATTGCCAACTACATCCAATTACCCGGATCAAGCCCGGATTTCAGTTAATTCGACGCACTGTGTTGCCATGGACAAGAAAGTATATGTTTACAAGTAAGTCATAAAATCACAACACCTGAGGAGTTTGCAGAGATGCATTACATTTAAGATTGTGATATTATTACATAAAATAAATTAAAAGTTAAATGTTCAAAAGTTAAATTAAAAAACTTACCCAACATTAAAAAAGATACTTATGACAGATCGATGTAACTGCGACAGTTCTCTTTTTTCGATACACACTTAACTAAAATACACTTCATTGTGCTGCTTTACTTGTACGTGCTATTATAAAAACTGCTAAAATAACAGTCCCCATTTTTAACTTAACACATTATTTTCATATAGGCTTCATCATAATTTGAACCACTGATTTACAAAACACCTTGAAAAGCACACATTACACATTACTTTGAATATCTTTCTGAATGAATAAATGTTGAGAATTATTGTCTCTTACCGCCACTTTACGAACTACTTTCAATCTAAGAAAATACATGTTTCACTCAACAATTTTAAATACGTATTTTGCTTTTTCGCTATTTTTTCGATGCATTTCGACAATTCCGTCAACGGCCCAACCATCGGCCAAGACAGCTACGCATCACTGGTTGATAACTGCTCACTGCTTCTTTGTCGCGCCGGCGTGTCGAGCTTGCGTCATGCGAGGTTGCCGTAGTTTCAACAATTTCAAATTCAAGACACTCGAAGCAATCAAATTCTTATTAAATTTTAAAAATAAAACAGAAAAACATGAAAGGAAACAAACAAAACACAAATGAATTGATTATTGATAAGGTCACAAAAAAGGAATTTCTAAAATGTTTATCGTAATTCAGAATTCAATATATCGAAAACAGCCCGACGAATAATCAATTCATTTTCGTTTTATTTGTTTCCTTTCATGTTTATCTGTTTTATTTTTAAAATTTAATACAAATTTGATTGCTTCGAATGTCTTGAATTTGAAATTGTTGTAACTACGGCAACGTTGCTTAACATCGTCGTCTGACGCAAGCCTGCCACGACGGCGCGGCTCAAAGGACCAGTTCACACGTGGCACTCTTGGCCGACGCGCGACGGTTGGGCTGTCAAAATACATCGAAAAAATAGCGAAAAAACAAAATACGTATTTAAAACTGTTGAGTGAAACATGTCTTAGATTGAAAGTAGTTCGTAAAGTGGCGATAAGAGACGGTATTCAAAGTAATGTGCGCTTTTCAAGGTGTTTTGTAAATCAGTGGTTCAAATAAAACAGAGAAACATGAAAGAAAACAAATATTGAATTCTAAATTACGATAAACATTTTAGGAATTTCTTTTTTTGTGACCTGGCTGTGAATAATATGATGAATCATTTTCGTAAACGTCATAAACGTAATGTTTTAGTTAATTTTCGGTGGTTTTTGTTAAGTTTTCATTGAAAGGGTAAGTACTAAAAATAATTAATGTGTTTTTTTCTATAATAATTATTAATAATGAGCACTGATAAAATTTAACATTCCTAATTTCTGAGTAGAAATTTTTCTATGAATTTATAAATGTAGAACTATGTAGAATGTGGATAACATAGGAGGTTGCAACACTGCAAGGTTTAGATACACCGTAGAGAAATCTCAGGTGAATAAACAAGTGGCACTAAAAAGTTTTTTCAAATTTCCCGGAAAATGTCAAGAAAAATTTTAAATTTTCAACATTTTTTTTTCGCAAAAAAAACCTCATAGGCGTGTTTCTGGGGTTGAACTATACTACCAGTTAAAATATTTGCACTTATTTCTGGGACACCCTGTATTATTTAATTCCGCATTAATTGATGCTTAGTTACTGCATGAATATGTACCGGTTTTCTGTACACAGTAATGTCAATAGACCCCCCATTTCGACTAACAAGAACATTTAGAAACGACAGACAGAGGTTTTCTCTCAATCGTAAATTTGATGGAGTCAATTTTTGAATCAAGATATTAAATTATCGTCAACATATCAACAAATATACGTTAACATGAATTGCAGGTTCCGATTCCAAACACTCGAGTTCGAATGGTCACCACTGGAAGAGGTATGGAGATTCGCCTGGAGTGGGTAGTCCTCCCCCTCCTGCACCGGGTAGTCCCACGTCCAACAGGAGGGAACGCAGGGGAAGTCCCCACGGGAAGGAGAAGTCCAGCAGCAGTAAGGGAGTCAGAGGCGTACCGCAAAGTTTCGGGTAAGGAAGCTGGTTTTTATTATCAATGATATTGGCAAAACTTGGATTTATAAACGATTCTAATACAATCCTTTTTATAAGAGGATTGTTTTAGGTCTGTGGCCAACAAAATAAAGCACTAAATCACCATAATACACCAAAACACTTTTATTTTTACACTGGACGCGCGTTTCGCCATGTTAGCATCATCAGCAGATGATTATAAACTAAACTACAATTTGAAATTTGAGCGTTTATATACTCGCTCAGTGGGCACCGAGTGGGCGTGTCAAGATCTAGCCAACCGAGTCACAGCCCACCGAGCGTAACAGTTAGATTTCCGCCACTAGAGCAGTAGGAACCAAGAACTTGAAGGAATTGGACCGTTGTCTCTGTTCATACTATCTTTACATTTATTAATTCTGATGCTTTCATATGCATCTAATTGCCCGTAATTTGAGACATGTTTAATTAATTTTAAGTTATTAAGATCTATACAATGTTCTTTATCAACAATATGTTCGGCAACGCAAGATTTATCCGGTCTACCATATCTTATCTGAGCTAAATGTTCTTTAAATCTATATAGTTAATATTGATCTTCTAGTTTGCCCAACATATTTCTGATTACAATCTTTACCAGAAATTTCATAAATACCCGACCTTTCCAGTGGAGGTGTTTTATCCTTTGGAATACCTAATAATTGTTGTAATTTATTATTATATATAAGCACTATACACAAGTTTATAATTGACATTCTTAAAAATTCCTTTTAGACCACGGGATAACTCTCTATCAAACGGTATTGAAAAATATTTTGACGTATCTTTCTCTACTTAAAAAGTCGAATTTTCAGAAATCAAATTATACGTTTTTATTTATTGTTTATGCAGTATGTGCCCGGATTGTCTTTACAAGAGGAAAAACATGGCACTTGATATTGACAGTTTGAGAAAAAGAGTTATATATTTTTTTTATTTTCTCTAAAACGGTATGGAAATTAGGAAAAGTATAAACTAGATTAACCATTTTAGAACAAGCAAAAATTTTTATGAAAAATGCATTTTTCTCAAAATATCAATAATAAAAGTTTTTCCTCTTGTAAAGACAATCCGATGACCATACTGTAGAAAAGAACAATACAATTTATCCAATTACCTTCATTCCTCTCTTTTATTTTGCTTTAAACTTCCAAACGAAAATCGTAGTTTCTAACAATCGTTTGTTTCCCTTTTAACTGAACTTTTTCTAGTAGCGTACTTTAAAACTAGTTTATAATTACACCACTTTTCTTTTAACAATACATCAGGAAGGAGCACGAAAAACTTCCAGATTGTAGGTTTTCAAACTTTTAAATCTATTTCTCGTGCTTGTTTATCTATTGATGTAATGACCCAATTTGCTACTGCAAGACAAAATTTATTGGTATATTCCATAACGTATCTTCCGTAATTTAGGTCAAAGAAAATGGTTAAAATGTAGTTTATCTTTTTGGAGAACACAAACTAATTTGAAATATAGTACATCTATTACAACATTCAATATTCAGTTAAATTTATTTTGTTTTAGTTTATATATTTACATAAGGAGCTAAAAGTCATATAAATGTATAAAAGATAGACTAATTAATATACCGGGTGTCCCACTACGAATACATATTAACCGTAGAGCCTGCGGATAAAAAATTCAACCAATCAACATTTTACAGCACTAAAGAAACACCCAGTAATATACTGTCATACGTAATTTATTTTTGGAAACTAAATCATGGTTTTCGGGAGAGTTATTCAACCTAAAGGATATTTGTGGGTTAATGTTGGTGATGAAATTTCGTAGTTATGAAGAAAAACGGCTAATAATTATTGTTACATGCTACATCATATTTTTTTGGAGTAATTTAAAGCATTTTGTATTAGCTTACCTAAAATGTTATTTTAGATTAAGGAGTTCTTAATTACATCAAGGTCTTTATTCAATTTTTTTTATGGTACCAGGGACATTAAAACTAGATTTACCATGAGGGAAAACAGTTGAAAATATTGTACTTTCTCAGAGTACCATCCGTTTTTAGCTAATTTATCACCAACCTTAAACAGCTAATAATCTTATAAGCTCGAACATTTCTTATCAGGGATTAATAATGGACCCGTTTTTATTCAAAAATCTTCACGGTTCGGAAAATATGGACTATTAGAAAGTATACGAGTGAAATTATAATTAAGAAAAAAATACTTCTGATATTTTGATTTTTTGCCGCTATTGGGAACTTCTGCATCACTGCGCGACGCGCGACGCCTCGATAAAGTCATGGTAGTAGGCTTTGGAAAAATCTGACGTTCGAAATAAATAGATTAAACGTCAAGGTATTATTTTATAGCTTCGCGTTGTTTGTAAATAAGTAAATAACTGTAAATAATTACTGAATTGATATAATTTCACGTGAGTTACCTAGGTGTTTTTTTTAAATTTCGAATTACATGAAATCAAGTGAAATTAAAATTCAAAAATTGATTTATTTTGACTACTGACTTATAGAAAAAAGTGATAATATATTATGGTCGTGAGGATTGTATTGGTTGAATTTCTTAATAAAGTCACTTTAAATATCGCATGTAAGGTATGTATTATATCTGGGTTATATTTCATTAAATTATAGACCTACTTGAGCCAATTCTATTACAAAAGTCGTTTCCTACGATAAATTATTAAGTTTGCGTGTTCCATAGCCTGCAATAAACTTGTAGTTTAAAAAGTTAGGCCCCTGTTTCTGTCGTTTATCACAGTTTGGTCTGAATTTTTTATTAGGAATTGTCATTGGGTTATTTATTTTATACGCTAATTATAGATATTAAAATACATTTATTATATAGTCTGTCCAACGAGAAGATCCTTGACAGTGATAGATGTGTCTGTCATTTTAATTTCAAAGTAGTTTATTTTATTTACAAAGAAATAAGTTGGTACAACTGGAACGCAGAGCAGGAAATATTTAAAATTTGATTGACAAGATGACAAGTGATTACTTCAAAATATTGTGAAAAAAACTGTATAAAACTGAAAAAATGTAATCGAGTTATTTTATTTAATAAAAACGGTATGTGTTAATACAAAACAAACAAGAACAAGACACTACATACCAAAAAAATATAAAAAAGAACTATTATTTACTTTCAAGCTTTATGAAACTACCCGCATTTATGATTATATTTATCAATATAACTTATGTACAAATACAAATTTGTAATATTCCACAGGAATAAAAAAAACAACATAGGTAGAACAAACTATTTTATTAATAATAACACCTACCAAATTTTATACCTTAAAGGTTGATTAATTAACTTTAATCTTAATTTTTTTAAACCAGTACCTTTTGACATTATTTTTCTGCAGTACTAAAATCCATTATTTACCTATCGTGTGATGTCGATATTTTACAGCTACTCCAGTTTTTAGTATGTGTTTTGTTTGATCCTTCTACCATATACGAGATGCACTTATCTACGACGAAATGGTATATAAACTTTATCGATGGCAACTTCATTGGTGTATAAGACAAGACTTTCTGCCTGGGCAGCGAATATTAACCATAAACTGTGCTCTGGGTCTACAGTTAATTTTCACTCGATTTATCCTCCACTTGACTTCAAAAGACACAAAACACACGTAATAATACGAATCATCGTCATCGTCATAATACTGTCATCGTCTGTCGAAATCTTACCTGAGAAAAAAAACAGTATAGTTAGTCTACAGAGTAGACTTTATTAGAATACTTTGTAAATATTTCATATATTTTATCATTTTGATTTAGTAACTTTATACAATTATTATTATATACCAGGTGGTGCATATTGTCCTTGGAAACCTTTGAATTTTCGCTTTTTTTATTTTAGATACGTCAAGAGAAATGGATCGACCAACGGTACCGGCACCACAAATGGCACTGGCCCACCCATGCAAGGTAAACCACATAAAAAATAAAAATACAAAACCATTCATTCGTTCGAACTCTATTTTAATTCATTAGTTATTTTACTATTACACATGGTAAAACAATGCTGTCCTATTTTTATTTTGTTCTTTTTTAGTAATTCAGAACCACAACGGGAAAACTGCAGCTGTGTCGGCAGTACCCCGAACGAAAGTGAAAGTTTCTGGAGGTACCCAGACTTGCTCCAGCGATTTGCAACAATCACATAGTAAGAATAAATATATTTTTTCTTTACTTAATTATACAGGGTCGTTCACCACATACGACATGGAGTATTGTAGCTAAACGATTAGATTTTTGCAAATTTTAAGTTTTGAGTTCGTTGAAAGACTATTAGAGCTACAAAGATACAGAGTGTCCCAAATAAATAAAAATATCAAAGCTGTATTTTTTTAAACGGAACACCCTGTATATTATTACATTTTTAGTTTCTACGATTAAAATAAAGGTAAATTTGATTAAGATTTACTGCATTTTAATCTTACCGTTTCTGAAATATTTAGGTTTTTGTCAAAATACAGTAATAATTTTAATGCTTCATTTCTGTAGGCGTATTTAAGTTTTTATTTACTGTTTTATACAGAGTATCTAAAAAATTATTTTAAATAATTACTAGCTTTAAACGGCAATAACTTGTTTAATTTAAATGGAACTTGCTGTATGTTTTATGAGAATCAGATGCAAAATTTAATTGTCTATCAAATTGTATTACACCATTTTTTATCTATCTCTTCAAGTTTTTGTAGAAAAAGCATTTTCTTATAATTTCGACCTCATCTATCAATATACCCATGGAATATTGACATTTTAGATTATTTTTAAAGATGTAACAAATTTTTAAAGAGTACTGTACTAATGTTGTAGATATAGTTCGTTTATTTCATTAAAAAAATTAAAAAAAAACTGTTTAAATAATTGTTAAAGAGGACCAAAATTAATATGATTCCAGTATTCAAACTACATTAATTGACTGTTTGCATTGATTAATAATAATTGCTCCAAATACTAAAAAACTTAGTTTTGTATGTGTATTGTGGTAAAAAGTAACACCTTAAAAATTTTCTTTCAATTTTTGATGAATGCTTATTTATAACAACAGAGACGTTCATTTTTATAACTCATTATTATATTGATTTCTGAATCAAATCCACATTTATTTAGAATAATTTATTAACTAACACGATTAAGTATGTAATTAATTAATATTTGGGCGGACATAATTAATGGTATACTTTTTTATAAAGATTTAAATAAATTTCTTTTTCTACATAAATGTAATAGACGTAATATTATTGTGTTTAGCACCTGTACATTTTGTACATTTGTTGCTTTAAAAACAATGTAAAATGTCAATATTCTATGGGTATATTGATAAATGAGGTCTAAATTATAAGAAAATGCATTTTCTACGAAAACTTGAAGGGATAGGTGAAAAATGGTATAATACAATTTGATAGACAATTAAATTGTACCTCTGATTCTCCTAAAATATACAGGGTGTTCTATTTAAATTAAACATGTTATTGCCGTTTAAAGCTAGAAATTATTTAAAATAAATTTTTAGACACTCTGTATGAGGTAGTATTATTTTGATTATTGCAACACAATAACTGATCAATAAATAAACTTCAGTAAATATTTAGTATTAAAAACTTTGATAACCTTGGAGAAATGAAGCCTAAATTTTTAATGCAATTTCACAAAATTGAAAATATTTCAAAATCGGTAAGGTTTAAAGGTGATAAACCTTAATCAAATTTACCTTTATTTCAATCGTAGAATCTAAAAATGCAATAATATACAGGTTTTTCCATTTAAAAAAATACAACTATAATATTTTTTACTTATTTGGGACACTCTGTATCTTGTAAAATTATTTTTAAATTGTAGCTCTAATAGTCCTTCAACGAACACAAAACTTAACTCCGTAAAAATGTAATGGTTTAGCTACAATACTTCCTGTCGTATGTGGTGAACAACCCTGTATATGATATTTGCTTGAAAATCTTCGTCAGCTGAAGAGTTCCAAATTCAGTCACTACTTGGGATACTAAGATTGTTGCAAGAAGTATCTTCTTTAAAAACAAGATGAACAAAAAGACTGACTTTTACGAACTCATAAAATTCTTGTAGTTAGATGAAATAAGCATCAGTTCGAAATTATCCTACCGACTGCGCCAGTGTGTGGTTCCTTATCATTATTTTATAATTATTATATTTTTAGAACCGTCCCCACCACAGTTCAAATCGTACTCGCTAACCGGCAACACCGCTAATCAACTGTCGCAATCTGTCAGAGAACGGCTGATGATGGGTTCGCAAAGTTTGCCGAAAGGTGGCGTTCACCAGGAATACGGCCTGGTCATGAGACAGATGAGGCCGAAGGCTAGCGACGGATCCTTGAGCGATACTCAGGCTATAGAGAATTGCAGTCCATACGCTCCATGGCTACGACATAGGTAATTTACATTCTATTCTAGATATATTTTTTACAAAACAGTACCTGAGTTCTTTATCTCCAATATCACTCAGGGAATTTACCAAAGATTATGGCACAAATGATTGTCGTCTCGGCGCACTCACTGATGAGGTGTTCTGGTACTTGTTTCCCTATTTTTCCCACAGAATATACATTCGCCAATATTTCTTATAGCTTCAATATACTGCGGTATCTATTGAGGAGATATTGTGGAGATAATGTTGAGGAGATAGACCCTTACTTCTTCATTACTTTCTATCTTTTAGTGGGCTGGCACCCAGAGTAGAAGGCCTTTATTTTCTTTTACTTTGCATTAAAACTAGTGTTGCACAAGAGTCTTGAAAAAGTCTTGCAAGACCAAGACTCTTGCAAGAAATTCAAGACAAGACTTTCAAAATTTCTTGTCTTGAATTTCAAGACAAGGCAAGACTTTAATATGCAAAAAATTTCAAGAGTCTTGCAAGATTTCTTGAATTCAAGGTTTCTTGAAAGTTAGAAATTACACATTTTTTAAGTGATAATTTGGTCTTTTTGGTCTTTTTGATATGCTGGGTTTATACAACATTTACATACCCAAGCAGCATTTGGACGTCGGGACAACGTTGTTTCACGCGACCAAACGTCGGGGCGCAACGTCGGCACAACCTCGTGCCAACCCTAGTCTGCACTAGTTTGGAGAATAATTTTTGGGTCGAAACGACGTTGGATACCGACGTTGGCAAAAAAGTTCAACGCAAACAACTTTATTGATAAATGTATTGTTTCTACTTTGAAAAATACTAATGGGCCTTAAAATTAAAGAAGTTTTAAAAATTTTCTTGAATTTCTTTTTTAGTAAAATGAGAATAATTTATTCGCAGTCGAAAAAAGTGTTTCCGCGTGTTTTTTAGGGTCAAATATTTCAAGTTAATGTATTCAAAAAGCAGGAATTGCTATTTTAGGAACGAAACATTTTCTTATTTAACAACATGGCGGCTTTCACTTTGTTGTTTTGGAGATTAAGATGGAGTAGTTCGAGTAGTCGCATACTGGACTAATAAAGTCGCAGTTCGGCCTTAACAGGTAGTATACTAGTCGCAAGATTGCCTAATTTAGTCATCCTAGAGTCTAGCTTGTGCCGCCCTCTATAATCTAAATAAACGAGGGAGTGGATAAACTATCGGTAATATATGTCGATGTATATTTAAATTTAGTTTTATATGTACCTTTCTTATGTCCCATTTTAATTAAGTTTTTTTTTATAAAAACAAAAACAGCACTGAACTGTCTGACTGAACAGAACAATGAAGTGAAAATTTAAGATTTAAGGTTATGGTTCAATACAGTTGCAAAAAGGTAGTGACTCGACGTCCTACCAACGTAAGAATAAGGAAATCTAAACTACGTTGGAATTAGTAAAACAGACGATGTTTGCATAACGTTGGAATAGGTCCTGAAACTGACGTCGGAAAACTCAATATTGTCCAACGATGTAACTACGTTGTCCGAATCACCTAAAGATCACTTCAGCAAAAAAGGTTACAAGACAACGTTTATTCGACGTCGCAGAAGCTTCTACTTTGCTGTAGTACTAGTCCAACGTCGGCACAACGTTATAAAAACGTTTAAATTTATTTTAATACCCTAGGTAGGGAGCTAACTATTTTTTGTAGCTAATCCAACGTTGTGTTTAGTAAACATGTGGTCGCAAGTCGTGAAAATGCTACTTGGGTCTTTGAAGGTTTATATACCTATATCAGAATTTTCTTTCTCAATACATCCATTATAAATTTTAAAAGACATAATATGATAAATTATAGTTTCCCATATTAAAAGAACGCTTTCCTATATTTAATACAATATTATTTTAGCAATACGTATTCAGTAGCCCCAAGGCTGTCCGAGACGGACAGTATGGAGAGTCTTACCAGTCTTCCAGGTCACAGAAGTAGCCTTACACACACCCGCCTTCTGAGAGATTCACCTTCCAGATTAAGCAGAAGCAATAGCATAAGGTAAAAAAATAAACAACTTAGCTTTATTAAGACATGTTACACAGCTATGTTATTTTCCTGCAAAGTTGGAGTTGAAGAATTGTTCGTTTTTCAAGTTTTCTCAAGTAAATACTTATGACATCCACTCTGTAATATCTGATATAAATCTGTAATATCTGATGATGACGGATGTCATCATCCACTCTGTAATATCTGAAATTCTATTAGAAACATTAACATCAGTATACAAAAAGTGGTTTTACAGATTGATACTTAAAATACCATATTATATCAAAAAAAAAAACGGCGTCAAGGACAGCTAGAGAATGATAAATCGATGATAATTTTGGTGAGGTCAAGCTCCAAGCGTCATTTATTTGGTTGCCTTAAGAAGTGTCTGATGAAAACTATTTATCCTTTAATCGTTATATAATTAGTGTTAAATTTTGACAAGTTTTATGTCAATATTTAGTAAAATGACGTCTAGAGATTGACCTCACTAAAATTTTCATTCATTATCATTTCCCAGGCGTCTTTGACGCCGTTTTTTTCGTTCGTACAGTATTTATTAGAGAGAATTTGAGAAAAGTTAAATCAAATTGATCAAAAAAATCCAAAAACTTTATTTTTACGAGCAGCTATCTACGAGACAGGACATTTCCAAGGTAGAATCGTAACAAAAAAAACGTATTGTGTGCTTTTGGTATATTCTCATGTTCAAATAACCGTTCGATTTACTAAAAATGCATTTTTTATGTAACATATTCCGGCCTGTTAGTATGCTTATAAGGCCTACAGTGTACTGTATATTGCGTTGCCTAACTAAGACACTCCATTAGACAATGACAGTAGAATAATCAAAATTTAAAATACTTTTTGATTGAAAAAAACGGAGTTGGCTTAAAAATGGCAATCGATGGCGCTCACTTTATAAGTTTACATAATATTTCGCATTTATGGTAGATAAAAAAACTTTTTATTTCAGTAACCAAATACTCAGCCTTTTATCCAGTAATTTTTTGTAGTAAAAGGCAAACGAAGTATTTATCAGATTCCCTTAATTATCAAAACAGAATAATAGCAAAATTCTATTTTAGTTTATGTATGTAAGCCACTATAAGCTCATATATAACCATAAACTGAAGTGGAAAATATATGGATTTAACAGTATGGATAGATAGTAAATTTCACTGTTGTTTGAACATGACAGGCTTATGTACTGGCGTTCCTACAAAGGCTTTGGACACGTACGAACCTGTGTATCCTTTGTGAGTTTGGTCTGCTTTTTCAGGCTTTCGTCACGTGTGTATATTTCATTCACAGTACGCTACACGAACGTCACATTTTGTTTTCAACTATATCAGCACCATATTTAGAGTGTATTAATACATTGTAGTTAAATATGTAGTATTATTAAGATACAATACGATCGAGAAAAAAAAAACGACCTCAAACACGGTTAGGGAATTAAAATCGATGATAATTTTGGCGAGATCAAGTATTTTGGCGTGATCTTCATTTTTTAATGGCACTTACTGCCAGTTGACCTTAACACATTTGTAGTTTATTTTTTTTATTGAGTAAACATTTTTAAATGGTGTACCTAGTTTAAAATTCGAGTAAATAGTATATTGTTTAATTAGGAATAAAAATGACACTGTATGTGGAAAGGCTGTGCGTTTGACATACAGACGAGCCACAAAAAGTAATTTTTACTCCGAATAGAACATGCTATTTTATTTTTCAAACGTCACAAATAATTTTTTGAACAATTTCAAACGTACCAAATAATATAAAAAGATTTAAAAGTAATACCTTGTATCACAGCTTGTATGTAATTATATATCGAGAATCTATGGTTACGCTCGTTGAATTTGACACTTTATGTCAGTTTAACAATATATTTTCGTACTTTCAGGGTGCAGCCACACTATCCTAAAAACGGCGTATCGGCGTAACGGCGTAACGACCTTGAATCGATTTCCAGTAATTCTATTGGCTGAAATATTTGACAGATGAATTTGACAGATAAAATTTCTGACAGATGAATGTTTCAGCCAATAGAATTACTGGAAATCTATTCAAGGTCATTACGCCGTTACGCCGATACGCCGTTTTTAGGATAGTGTGGCTGGACCCTCAGGCTGAGGCGTTAAAATGAATTTTTTATATTGTCAATCACGTCGCAAAAATTAATACTTCTGTGACGTTTGAAATAAAATATTTTTTTTTGGAAATGAATCTATGCATGTCTAAATACGTTTTATTCTTTTTTAATCTTTCTATAATTAGTGTTAATTTTTGACTAAAGTTTTATGTCAAATGTCAATGGGTTGTCATTCCCTAGCCCTGTTTGATACTGTTTTTTTTTTCGATCATTTGTATGTGTTTCAATTACGATGTGTTTCAACTAACTGAGCTATATATTTTGAACAACAATTTTTAATACACACTGAATATACAGTCTTCAAACTCATTACTTTTAAGTTCCTGCAAAAGACAAAGGTTTATTATTACATTATTTTCAGATCGACCAAATCGGAAAAATTGTACCCTTCGATGTTACATAGGAATACCGAACCGGAAACAGAACCTTACTATTGCCTACCGATCGGAAGTCTTTCCCATTGGTCGCAGCCCACTAGTCCCGCCCCCGGAAACGCTCGGACGTTTCCGCTCAGTCCGACTCATTCCGGAACTCCACGACACAGCATACCGAAGAATGACGAACGTGAGTATTTAGTAATTCGCATCACAAAAATTGTCTATTTCGAGCACTGTGCCAATTCATTGTGATTTTGGTTGAGCTTTATTGCCCACACAATCTGCATTCGCCGTTGTTTATTAGCTGTTAAAAACCCCGTGACATTGCGAATGTGCTCTTAGTTAAATCAAAATATTTGATTTTCTCTGTTGGAAGTCCTGAGAAATTTCTTCGAGTGTCTTAGACCGTTTTAGTATTCCCATTCAAGGTTACGGATGGAGTGTTCCACGTTCTTCAGTTCTGCTTTTAGTTCAGTCATTGGGGATCAAAAAAGGGGCCTGCTTCAGTCAGGAAGTTTTGAAACTTTGCAGGTTTATAGGTTTTGGGGTCCCTAACTAAAATCCATAAAATGCACATTTCCAGACTCTTTTATTTGTAAAATATTTTTATATGGTATTATTTGAACAAAGGTATTAAGGTAATTGATTTTTAGGATAGGTTTATAGTTAAGTACAATAATTTTTAAAATTAATTATGCGTTTTTATAGTTAGACGTAGATAAAATATTGTACAATACACGCGAGTTAACTCGATTAAGATACTTGTGTGGTTACTTGTTATATAATATACTATATATTAGTCGGTTTAGAACGTTTTTCTACGTTGTCCGATACCCAATTTCCAGCCTGTTCTATTCGTACAATCCTCTGTTGACAGGTTTCTTTCACTCATCGCTTTGTGTACGCTTTTTTGCCATTCCAGTTTCGGTCTTCCCTGTTTTCTTATGTCCTATCATGTCCGTACCAGATCAGCTGCCTTCTCTCTACAGGGTGTTTCAAAACAAATGCGAAAAACTTCAGGGGGTGATTCCTTGTTCAAAATAAAGGGTAGTTTGCTTTATAAACATTGGGTCAAAAGTCAACCATTAGGGCGATATCGCGATACAAAGATGGCGGAAAAATGATGTTTTTATTTTTTATCTTGAAAACGAAAAGAGATAGACTAATGACATTTTACGGAAGCATTACTGTTATGAAAACACACTTTCTGGTAATTTTTTCACTTTTTTAAAATGAGTGGAAGGTTGAAATAAACTACCCCTATCATTCCTGTTAATGAAATTTAAAGAAAAATCTTATCAAACACATGCAAAAAAAATAATTATAATTAGTTTATTTAGAAACTTTTTTATCTCTTGTGTTTTTTTGATAAAACTCACCGATTTGAAATTAAAAAATAAAATGTAAAGCATTACATGTCAGGACAAAAAACATTTTTAGATAAAGAATCTAGTTGGCAGCTGTAATTTTTTTAGGAAAAAATCTAGTCGGCCGCTGTCACTTTTTAGGATGTTTCTAATATTGTTTTATTTGACATTACCCTACTGCAATACGTTATTATCTAGATTACTATTATTATCATTATTATCACTAGATTCTTAATCTAAAAATATTTTTAGTCCTGACATGTAATGCTTTACATTTTATTTTTTAATTTTAAATCGGTGAGTTTTATAAAAAAAAATACAAGAGATAAAAAAGTTTCTAAACAAACTAAACTATCCAAATTAATTTTTTTGCATGTGTTTGATAAGATTTTTCTTTAAATTTCGTTAACAAGAATGATAGGGGTAGTTTATTTCAACCCCTTCCACTCATTTTAAAAAAGTGAAAAAATTCCCAGAAAGTATGTTTTCATAACAGTAATTCTTCCATAAAATTTCATTAGTCTATCTCTTTTCGTTTTCAAGATAAAAAATAAGAACATTATTTTTCCGCCATCTTTGTACCGCGATATCTCCCTAATGGTTGACTTTTGACCCAACGTTTATGAAGCAAACTACCCTTTATTTTGAACAAGGAATCACCCCCTGAAGTTTTTCGCATTTGTTTTGAAACACCCTGTATATCCTGTGTTATCGTACCTTCTATACCCATTTGTTGTTTTATGGTATTATTTCTTATTTGTTGTTGTCTTGAAATTCCCATTGATCTTCGAATGCCTACGGCCTCTATCCTCTTCTTGTATCTCTCAACTACCTCGATATCTCTCAACTGTTAACTACCAACTGTTGATTCACTTGTATGGTAAATATCTAATATATAACATAAATTAGGATTGATTGACGTATGCAATTGTTTTCGGGTACTTCCTGTTTCACCAGAAATGTCTTCGACCTCTAATTTTTAAATGGCACCCTCGGTATTTTTTTTGCTTTATTTGATGGAAAATAACTTATAGGGGGCGAGCTACTTTTCAGAAACACCTGGTATATTGTTAAATAAATATGTATGGAAAACATCGATTTTAATTTGCCAATAAACTCGTCTTTGTTATAGTTCACGGATCATCAATAAGTTTGGTTTCTACCGCTTCAAGTTTATATTCTTCAGCAGAAGAGAAACAGGCTCACGAGATCAGGAAACTGAGAAGAGAACTAGGGGAGGCTCAGGAAAAAGTCCACACGCTTACATCACAGCTTAGTACCAATGTAAGTACCGCATGTTTTTGTTACAATTTATTACAACTATTTTTTTTAATATATTTTAATATTGCCGTAACTTTTTAAGAAATAATATCAATAGTTTGTTGTTAAAAGCTTTACAAAAGTAAAATTCGGAGCTTGTGTCTTAAGAATTAAGGTAGGAAATTAAGAATTAAGGTAGGTAATAGGGAAAGGGGGAATAATGACTATTGATGGTTAGCTTAACCAAGACGATATTAAGTATATACTATAGTCTGTCCAACGACAAAATCCTTGACAGTGATAGATGTGTCCCTCATTTTAATTTCAAAGTAGTTTATTTTATTTTACAAAGAAATAAGTTGGTACAATTGGAACGCATAATTAATATATTTAAATTTTGAGTGACAAGTGATTACTTCAAAATATTGTGAAAAAAACTGTATAAAACTGAAGAAATCTAATCTTGGTTAATTAACTATAATCTTATTTTTTTCTGCAGTACTAAAATGTATTATTTACCTATCGTGTGATGTTATTTTACAGAAACTCCAGTTTTTGGTACCATATACGAGATGGTATACAACTTTATTTGTGGCTAATACAACTCTCTGGCCATAGTCTCTGGCAAAGTGTGTCTCTGGCGGTCTCTGTACACCGAATATTAACTGTAAACTATGGTCTGGGGTCACACTTAATATTCCCTCGAGTTTTCCTCCACTTAATTTTAAAAAACACGAAACACAAGTAACAACCCAAGCAGCATTTGGACGTCGGGACAACGTTGTGTCACGCGACCAAACGTCGGGGCGCAACGTCGGCACAACCTCGTGCCAACCCTAGTCTGCACTAGTTTGGAGAATAATTTTTGGGTCGAAACGACGTTGGATACCGACGTTGGCTAGCAGCCTAATTTAGTACAAACTGCAACGTTGTTTAAAATCCTAATTCACAGAAATACAAAACTAATATGGCGTCTAAGTCGCGTTTTATCCTAAATTGGGATAATTATAGTAAAAATATTATTTTTATGATTTAGTTAGACATATGTCAGATGGCAGTGAAGGAAAACAAAACAAAAGTATTTAAGTGTGGAGGATGTTTGAAGATCATAATTATTGAAACACTTTAACCGACTCTGTAACTCGTTATCCAAGGCAAAAAAGTTAAACGCAAACAACTTTATTGATAAATGTATTGTTTCTACTTTGAAAAATACTAATCGGCCTTAAAATTAAAGAAATTTTAAAAATTTTCTTGAATTTTTTTTAGTAAAATGAGAATAATTTATTCGCAGTCGAAAAAATTGTTTCCGCGTGTTTTTAGGGTCAAATATTTCAAGTTAATGTATTCAAAAAGCAGGAATTGCTATTTTAGGAACGAAACATTTTCTTATTTAACAACATGGCGGCTTTCACTTTGTTGTTTTGGAATTAAGATGGAGTAGTTCGAGTAGTCGCTTACTGGACTAATAAAGTCGCAGTTCGGCCTTAACAGGTAGTATACTAGTCGCAAGATTGCCTAATTTAGTCATCCTAGAGTCCAGCTTGTGCCGCCCTCTATAATCTAAATAAACGAGGGAGTGGATAAACATCGGTAATATATGTCGATGTATATTTAAATTTAGTTTTATATGTACCTTTCTTATGTCCCATTTTAATTAAGTTTTTTTATAAAAACAAAGCACTGAACTGTCTGACTGAACAGAACAATGAAGTGAAAATTTAAGATTTAAGGTTATGGTTCAATACAGTTGCAAAAAGGTAGTGACTCGACGTCCTACCAACGTAAGAATAAGGAAATCTAAACAACGTTGGAATTAGTAAAACAGACGACGTTTGCATAACGTTGGAATAGGTCCTGAAACTGACGTCGGTAAACTCTATATTGTTCAACGTTGTAACTACGTTGTCCGAATCACCTAAAGATCACTTAAGCAAAAAAGGTTACCAGACAACGTTTATTCGACGTCGCAGAAGCTTCTACTTTGCTGTAGTACTAGTCCAACGTCGGCATAACGTTATAAAAACGTTTAAATTTATTTTAATACCCCCCTACCTAACTATTTTTTGTAACTAATCCAACGTTGTGTTTAGTAAACATGTGGTCGGAAGTCGTGAAAATGCTACTTGGGAACACAGTCGAAAATGCAAAATGCAAAATATTTATCATTTCTATTTGACACAAATTATAACCTATAATTGGCAAGAGTTTGACAACTCTCAAAAATCTTAAGTCGAGTTCATACGCAATGGATTGGTATGGAAGTCATCTGCTTTTTTTCTGTCATCGTCTGTCGAAATCTTACCTGAGAAAAAAACAGAGTATAATTCAGTAAAAAATAAAGTATTTTTATATTAACATTATTAAAATATGACTTTTTTTAATTAGTAGTTTCCTACAGTACAATTATCTAATAAAATAATATTTCAAGCAGAAGAGTTAAGTCGTTAGACACGAAACAGTAATAAATGTCAAATGAGTAATTCTTTAATAAAATATGACAAGCTGATGTCCTTTAACCACACACATGTTTAAATAATTACACATCTAACGTTCGTACTTAAGAAATAACAGTTCGTGTTTACATTGTTTTTAAGTAATAATTTTCTGTAAGTACCATTATTTTCTTTGTATAATTTTATTGTACTCATAGAATATTCAGCAAATAAGATATTTTTGCATTTAGATATTATTATTTTTTTAAGTAGTATTAAAGAGCTCTGTGAAATATTCTTATAAAATAATATACCTACCTATGCAGAAGCAGTAATAAATAGTTGTACATCAAGAACACCAACCTTACTAATGATTAGAACTAATTAAAATGTAATTGTAATTAGAATTTATATTCCTAAGCATTAAAAACACTGTTGATCTACAGATATCAGATTAACCGTAAATGTGTAAGTTAATATTAATATATAGATAGTCTTTTTACCACATTCTCATTATATTTCCTATAATAAATTAATAAAATAAACAAGTTAGCAGCGTATAAATTTATTAACTGCTGCAACGATTTTAATTAATATTAGTTTAATGAAATATTAATTGGTAGTACTAGAATATTAACATTTATTATAATTTAAAATTTATTTGCATTTATATTATACAGGGTTGTTCACCACATACGACGCGGAGTATTGTAGCTAAACTCTTAGATTTTTACAAATTGTAAGTTTGGGGTTCGTTGAAGACTATTACAGCTACAATTTAAAAATATTTTTACAAGATACAGAGTGTCCCAAATAAATAAAAAATATCAAAGTTGTATTTTTTTAAATGGAACACCCTGTATATTATTACATTTTTAGTTTCTACGATTAAAATAAAGGTAAATTTGATTAAGGTTTATTATACTTAAACCTTACCGTTTTTGAAATATTTTCAATTTTGTGAAATTGCAGTAAAAATTTTAAAGCTTCATTTCTCCAAGGGTATCAATGTTTTTAATACTAAATATTTAATGAAGTTTATTTATTGATCAGTTATTGTGTTGCAATAATAAAAATAATACTACCTTATACAGAGTGCCTAAAAATTTGCATCTGATTCTCGTAAAATATACAGGGTGTTCCATTTAAATTAAACAAGTTATTGCCGTTTGAAGCTAATAATTATTTAAAATAAATTTTTAGACACTCTGTATAAGGTAGTATTATTTTTATTATTGCAACACAATAACTGATCAGTAAATAAACTTCAGTAAATATTTAGTATTAAAAACTTTGATACCTTTGGAGAAATGCCTTAAATTTTTACTGCAATTTCACTAAATTGAAAATATTTCAAAAAGGTAAGGTTTAAGTGTAATAAACCTTAATCAAATTTACCATTATTTTAATCGTAGAAACTAAAATGTAATAATATACAGGGTGTTCCATTTAAAAAAATACAACTTTGATATTTTTTACTTATTTGGGACACTCTGTATCTTGTAAAATTATTTTTAAATTGTACCTCTAATAGTCCTTCATCGAACCCAAAACTTACAATTTGTAAAAATCTCATCGTTTAGCTACAATACTCCGTGTCGTATGTGGTGAACAACTCTGTATAAAAACGGCTAATACACTATTTATAAAACTAAAATTAAAATGCCTGAGAAGTATTACGATTTATTGGAAGACAAATTTATTCAGATTTGTGTTAGTTTATTTTGCAAATTTCTTAAATATATTTAAAGGTGTGTTGTTAAAAGATTGTAAAATAATACCTGCCTACGTGCTTTGAATAATAGGACAGCCTGTATATGTTATATTATAATAAAATTATAATAAATTTGGATTTTTCACGGGATGTGTTTTAGATTTTTTTACATTGATATCATCACTATGTTACCCAGCGTTTAATAATTTTTTTTCATAGCAATTGCCATCTATCAAAAATAGTAGATAAAATAGTACTTTAACCGCAAGGGTAGATTAAATGACACTTTGACAGCGAGGATAGGTTAAAAACTTTATTTCTTCTCGCACGTTTTTAATTGCTTCCATTTTTGAAAAAATTTTTATTCCTTTTCATAAGTTATTCAGGATTTAAATGGAAGTAGTTTGGATAGGGCATTTGTCGCCTTAGCCTGAATATCTGTTGGTAATTTACTTATTTCATTTTGAGCCATTTCTGGCTCCAATTCAATCAGCAATCGACACGAAAGAGAATTAAAAAATATTGACTCAAAACTGACAACTAAAGAGACAGCTTTATTTATTTGCCAAATTACATAGAAACCAACGCCAATCCAGCACAATATTTTTTCTACTCGTAATAAATTCCTTGAAATAATAATTTCTGAATATTTTTTAAAACGTAACACGACGTTATACACGACGATAAAATTGCATTATCGTCTCCCGAAATTAATCTTTTCAGTCAGACGATAAAATACCATTTTATCGTCTTGTATAAAAAATAACTATTACTTAAAAACATTAAAGTGATTTTAGTTCAGGGTTCCATCGCTAAAAATCTGATGCGGTAGCTGTCAATTAAAACTACACTTTTCAAAATAAATGTGTCGTATA